AGGAAGACGTGCAATAGAAATATAATAAAGATAAATATATACACCAAAATCTGTCAAATAAATACGTCAAAAACACCGAATAATAAACACCTAGATACAGCGGTTGGTATGAGTACTGATTTCGAAGGATGTGACCCGTTGAAAATGAAATGAAATGAAAATTCTCATTATTCACTTATTTGTTAACATTTCAACAAATCGACTCATAGTAAAATCAGAAAAACTTCAGTAAGAATCTAGTTATACCAATACGAGTATACCAAGAAATATTATTGTTTAAAATATATATATATATATATATATATATATATATATATATATATATATATATATATATATATATATATATATATATATATATATATATATATATATATATATATATATATATATATATATATATATATATTATATATAGTCGTAACGAAGTGTACTATAAGAATGTTTGCCGATGGCACGACGGTTTTTGTGTCTGGTAGGGATGTCCCTGGGATGTTAAGTGATATAAACCATGATCTACAGAACATCTATGCGTGGCTTTCTGACAATAATATGGTTCTAAATGTAGAAAAGTCTAAATATATGGTAATGGGTCTGCTCATAGGTTGTCAAGGTTAGAACTTTCTGATATGGATGTCCGAATAAATAATATGAAGTTAGAAAGAGTAGAGGTTATAAAATATTTGGGAGACCTCGTAGATCAAAATTTGAATTTCGAAGGCTTCATTGATTATATTAACTCCAAAATGGCGAGGAAAATATTCTTTTTGAATAGAAATTGTCGATATTTCAGTAGTTATATGAACTTGAAATTATGCAAAGCGATTGTAGCCCCAAACTAAAACTACTGCTCTGTTCTAATATTTGGCTCAAGTGCTTATAAGTTTGATGAATTGCAAAAAAACCAAAACAAGGCCATGAGGGTGATATTAAAATGTAGTAGATATCACCAGTGAAAACAATGTTAAGAATTTTGAATATTATGAGTGTAAAACAAAGGGTTATGTTTCGTACATTAGAGCTTATATATAAGCTTGAACGCCATGTGGTTCCCGAATACCTGATTGACGGAATTAGTAGCGTAGGGGATCATCACTCATATGCGACAAGAAATAGAAAAAAAATTGTATATCCAAAAGTGTAATTTAACAAGGACAATAACTGGTATTACTAATGAAGGTTTCAAGAAATATAATGGATTACCTTTGAGTATTAAAGAGTGCCAAAATCACAGATTATTCAGAAGAACCTTGAGAGAATATGTTTTGTTAAGATATTAAATTAGAATTAAGAATCGTTAATGTATAAATTATAGATTTGTAATAGCCATGCTAAATAAAGTTGTGTTATTATTCTTAATAATTCTCAATACGATACACACAATTTTTCAGCATATAGATCATTATTTATGGTGTATTCATTGTATGATAAACCGGTCTCCGTGGCTTGGTCGGGAAAACACCCGACTAGGGAGCAGTAGAATTCGGGTTGGAGCCCTGGTGAATTCATGGCTGTATGTGTTGTCTATGATTTCAGTATTTTAATGATGATAATGATGGCAATGTATATAGATAACAAGCCCATTGGCCGTTAGGAAACGGCTTTAAACTGTAGGTTCACCGAATTGAAAAAAAATTATAGTTTTTTCAATTCTCTTGAGAATTAAAGTCGTTGCTTGATCTGACAAATTCGGTTGTTTATTAATTCCTGTAAACAGAATCGTGACGTATGGATACCAATTTAATCTGAAACTCCTAAAATATAGGCAGAGCGGCATAATATACATAATGCTACAGTCATATCTGGTATGATATTTTGTAGACAAATTTCGATTTTTCTAAAGAATTTCATTAACTATGACCGTAAAATGTACATTATTCTCTCTCAGTCTCTAGTGAGGTGAGCTGAATTGTAGAAAATATCGATTATACTCCCGTGAATTTGATTTTGAATAGATCGTGATATGATTGAAGAGCTGAAATAATTCAAGCTCAGCGAAAAATTAAAAAATGACCCTAAAATAATTGAATTCAATCAATTTGTAGCAACTTGATTAAAATATAAGTACATATTTTTATATAAAAAATAAAAGATCTCACTTTATACCTCTCACTTGTGATAAGTTGCCCCTCATCATAAACAAACTTTACTACTCCGCCCTGGTGAAGGACAATGAGGTCAAAACAACCGTCAACATCTGGTACCAAGTGGAGGCTATACAATTTGCTGCTAATTATCCTTCAGTAATTTCTCGAATATTTTTTTAAATTTTCATTTATTGTCAAAAATGACAGAAGTAATTTTGTTAAGATAATCTGTTCCACTCAATTCAAAAAGTTTGTTCAAAATGAGCTTAACTAAAGCCTTCTTAAGGCTAGTAGCTTCCAGAAACATCTTTGTTTTCTGTATATATATGGAAATTCATGAATATATGAGAAATGTCATGATACATTCAAATGAATATCAAGATATTATAAAGAAATATATTGATAATATCTTCAAACATTCACTTACTATTCATTTACGCACAATTATGTATGAAAAAATTATTATTCGTCTTGATTCGAACTTCGTCTCTTGAAACTAATCGACATATGGTGAATGTAAACATTTTAACATTTGTACTACGAGATTTATACACGAGTATAAGAAATGACATTACATCAATTCATTTCTCACATGGAAAAATGCGAAAGTTACTGAAGAACAGATATAATGCTTACTAGTGCATATAACTGCTAATTTCACATATCGTTCTAATTAATATAATTTCCCTAATTGAAGAGGTAACCATATAGTTTCACGAGAAGAAATACATAATACTAAAGGATCATTAAGAGTACCAGAAAATTTTTCATTCAAGTAGACAAAGTATTTCAATTTTCATATTTTCGTTCCGAATATGGTAAATTTTTTTGTTTCATGAATAAAATTTTATTGGAATTTGTTCGATATTAGATTCCTCCAAAAATGAATGAATTAATGAATATATATATATATATATATATATATATATATATATATATATATATATATATATATATATATCAATACCTTTTCCCGTACCGGAAATTATTCATTTACTCACTGAGAATATAATGTTTGTGATATAACTAATATAGACATTTTGGTTTGAAAACTTCTTTCATTTATATTTAAATCAACTACTGACATCATAAATTAGACAAAAAATCAGGGTCAGCATCTCATTTCGAATTCTCTGATAAATGGCACATTAAAATTCTATTATTACTACGCTGACATAAATTTATTGATGTTCTTCAATTTATGCGAATTTGTTTAGACTATTGTGAAAGAGAAAACACCAAAATAATTCATTCAGCTAAAAAAAAGCTGGCAAATGTTAATTCCAATATTTTTCATCTCCTTTCAAGAAATAATATTTTCTGATACTTGCATTGATCAGTTTTTGTTATATGAATAGATCCAGTTCGTTCTCTCATTTCATCAAAGTATATAAGTTTTGAAGTATTCAACAAATTTTCTCTTCGTTTTTGTAGTATTTCCCAATATTGTTGTGACATCTAAATGTCAGTTACTTTGTGATATAAGCGAAGCTATCAATCAATTGTATAACCGAAACAATTTGGGATTGACTAAGCCAAGTGTTCAATTTAATTGAGATATCCTTTAAGGGGTTTTGTTAAAGACTATCACCATGTTACTAACACTACTACTGTATGTTCTCTAACATTGTCCTTGAAGTAAAGTTCTCTTTTTTCTGTTTTGAATAACCGTTTCAGTAATTTTTAAGATATTTCAAACACAGTTAATATTTATATACCTTATCATTGTTTTCCGTAGGTACAAATTATTGTGTGCATTAATTATATATCGCACAATGAATCTTTTAATCAATCAAATAGTTAATTAAAAGTAAATTCATTTGAAATACACTAAAAGAGAAATCGGATATAGGTGAACACATACAGAGAAATAAAGATAATGCTTAATGACGTTTTTGTGCAATCATAATTAGTTTATTTGGCGATTATTCGGCTTTATGAAGTAATAATAGCGAACATTGGTGTTAATGCCTAAAGTGATAGTGGGTTAATTGCAGCCTATGAGGTGTAACACTTGTAGTTTTCTGTACCTGAATAGTTTAAGAATTCTATCTAAAAACAATTTCGAAAAATTTGAGCTGACTGTAATTATAATTTGGGAAAATTTATATCACAAATTCGAAATGTTCTGACATGCAATAGCTGTAAGATCTCGCGTAATCTGGATATATTATGCCGAACGATTTTTTATGAACAATTGTCATAAGTCATACCTTATTACTCTAGATCCAGAGTTCCTGTGCTTCTTCCTAGAAGTAGAACTGGATCTGAAGAACATATTTGCCATTTTCAACATACACTTAGCACTACAGGAACTAATAAAACTAGAACTGACTTCACATAATAAAAAAGATGAGTATTTGGACGAGAGATAATCTAGTCAACGTTGATGGATTATTTAATCGCGCTCACATGTTTCTCGCTCTTCGCGCATGTTTCTGGTACGACCTGTTGTAATCGTCCAGACAGTTACTACGGTACTATCTGATAGAATATGGTCTTCGTGCTGCGTCGAAGAAAGCACCATAAGTGGGAGATATGGCACTCGTAGGGTGTTCCTCTTCATCTGATTAGCACTGCGACGACTTCATTAACGAAAATATTCACAGTCAGATTTTCGGTGACCAGTTTTCAAGTTGATTTGGTTTTCAAGATCGAATTGAAAGGGAAAACTATTCACTTTTACTTACTTAATAAACACGAATTGAATGGAATGATTCGTTCTTTATATATTCTGTAGAATTTTTTATGGACTTTCGGGATTTTGGAAGGCACCTTTTACGATTGCTTATATAAAGGGTGTCGCCGCATTATGTTAGAAAAAGAAAGATGGATTTCCGAAAAGATGGAATTTGGGCTTTCGTCAAGTTAAGACGGCAATTGCTAAAACAATTAATAATAAAAAACAAGCCGGCTTCTGTAGCTTAGTTGGGAGTACTCGACTATGGCGCGGTAGGATTCGGGTTCGAGCCCCGGTGAAGGCATATGTGTATGTGTTTGTCTATGATTTGAGTAGTTAAATGATGATAATTGTTGGGTAAGGTACACTTATTAGAAGCCAATTGGTCGTTAGGAACCGGCGTTAAGCTGAAGGCCCACCGAATTGAAAAAAAAACGGATATAGACAATTAAGTCATATATACAGTCGTTGGATAGGTTGGTTGATGGTTCGGATCGATGAAACCATTAATTCTTAGACCTCCGATCCTGTACATTCCGATCCAATTTCTGTGTTCTAACCTTTATGAGTCTACCGGTAAAACTGTCACTTATTGTTTTTCCAAACATTTGATTTGTAATAATTTTATTAATACATTACCTAGAAGTTTTTATTTATTTTGACAGCTTAATTGCTTCCCTGAGATGTAGGTGTTTGTCGCTTGTCAGTAGATTTTTGTAGTTACAGTAATCAAGATAAAGGACCGCATTTTTGGTTCGAAATATAGAATTTTTCGAAAACGCAATTTCAAGAAATTCTTCTTTTTGTTTCTATATATATATATATATTTATTTATTTATTTATTTATTTATTTAATCATACGGACATGCCATTTTACAATTTATGAAACTATTCTACCACAAAATCTACATACAAAAGATACATGAATAAATATAAGATTATTTACAATACTAAAACATCAGTTGCACTACATCTCACATAATAAACATTATAAATTGTTCTACTTTATCTTTCACTCAGCTCCTGAGATTCAAAATATGACTTTAGATAGAAAATGGATACTAAGAAAAGATCAACTTGACAGGCATTCGCTAGGCGCTGTGCCCGTAACAAAGGATTATTGAAGCTGTAATTAGTAGGAGCAAAACTGATATGAAAAATTTCTCTTGACCTAAGATTAACTGGTTTACAATTAAGAATTAATTTGCTCAATAGATATTTGCAATCTAAAAAGTTGTTAATCAATTTATAAACTAACATAATGTCAAAGTTATTTCTCCGTAGTTCTAAAGATCTCAAATTAACTCGCCTCTGCACTTCATTATAATTTATAACAGAAGACGGTATACCTAATTTGAAGGAAACCCACTTAAGAAATTTCCTTTGAACTCGTTCAATGGTTTGTATGTGATTGTCATAGGCTGGGGACCAAACAACAGATGCGTATTCGCATATACTCCTCACATTGGCACAATACACTGATTTAATTACATCAATATTGTTGAAATGGCTCATTGACCTCTTGATAAAACCCAGCATCTTGAACGATTTGTTCGTAATAATTTGTATATGATTAGCGAAACTAAGTTTACGGTCGAAATACACACCTAAGTCTTTCATGATGCTAACTTCCTTCAATGTTTGGTGGCTCAAATGATACTCGAAATTGATCGGAGATCTCACTCTTCCAAACCTCATTATTTGGCACTTCTCTAAGTTGAATTCCATTTCGTTGTCTGCACACCATTTCATCAAGTAATCAAGATCACGTTGAAGAAGTTGACTATCCTCCATTGACGATACTGGTCTTAGAATTTTAAGATCATCCGCAAAGAGTAGAAATGAACTGTGTCTTACACCGTTTCCTATGTCATTGATAAACAACAAGAATAGAAGAGATGACAGGGTGATCCCTGTGGTACACCAGATTCCATTCCAAATTCTTCAGACAGTTCATTGCGTATCTTAACTCTCAACTTATTTCCTCTGATCCGATCAGCCAACCAATCTTTAAGTGGTGGTCCAACCCCTAGAGCTTCAATTTTAGCATTTAGTAACCAATGAGCCACTCTGTCAAAGGCTTTTTTAAAGTCAGTATAAATAGTGTCAACCTGTTTTCCCGCTTTCATGGCTTCTACTATAGTATCTAGAAATATTAACAAGTTGGTTGTAACCGATCTTTTTGGGATAAATCCATGTTGTTCGTCCAGGAAAATATGTTTGAATGATGGAGAAATTTTATTCACAATTAATGCGTCAAACAATTTAGGTATATATATATATATATATATATATATATATATATATATATATATATAACAGCAATAACAGGCTATTTAATGCAGAATATTCATCCTTGTTTAAGTTCGTTGTGTATCATAACTTTTTCAAAAGTAAGGAATATTTGAATTTCATCAATTACTCTGTATGCCAAAATTTCAAATTTATTTGAATAAAAATCAGCTTAGCTTTTGTGCCCCTTTGTATTCAAAAGAAAATTTCTGGCACAGCATTCTCTTCGGAATTCATTAGTCTTCTTCACCATGAAGAAACTTCTGATGAACTCATGGTAAGCCAGGTGATTAAAATGGGTGTAATTTATTTTTTGAAAATAGAAAATTTGACATTGTTTTACGCATCCAAAAAATTTATATTCAGGTATTTATTTTGAGTTTATGTGTGAAATTGATGGTAGATTAGGAAAGGATGAGTTTTGGGATATATTGTTTGATGATTCTTGTGTATTGGTTCTATGAGTGTTATTTTGTAGTGTAAGTTTGAGTATATTAACTTATTAATATATAAATGAATTAATTAAGTTGTATGAGTGTAAGTTTTATCAAATCGTTGAAGATAGAATTGAAATGTCCTATATCTGTTCTTTCATTTATTGTGTTTTCCAAATTTTGACGAATGTGTAACACTTCTAAAATGTCCCTTCATTTTTTGTCTTTCTCAGTTGCCAAAATCTCTGAGTTGTAATTAAAATCGTGTTTTTCAGATGTTATATGTTTATGTAGGGCAGTGATTTGTGTTTCTGCATTTTTGTGCTTCAATTCCGTCATCAAACTTCTGTGATGTTTGTCCTATATAGCATTTATTGCAATTATCGCAAGAAATATTATAAAAGGTATGAGATTTTCTTTGAATTATTGTTTCGCTTTTCAACTTATATATTTGCTTTTAATTTATATATATATATATATATATATATATATATATATATATATATATATATATATATATCAAACGTATATATTTGTTCAATTTGATTTTGTGCAGAATTACCTATTTCTAAATTATATAGTCTCAATATTTTATATAAGGTAGCGGAATGTAATTATTTTCATTGGATCTAGTTTCTGTTGATAGTGAAGTATTATAGGATTTACGAATCTCTTCTTCATTATTTTCTTGGTCAAATTATATGGGTGGTTACTTTTTATGAAGAGGGTGCAAACTTATTCAAATGTTCATAAGATTAAATCTGATGATTTATCTACGAAACTAAAAATATTTCTTCTCTTGAAGATAAAAAAAGTTCTGAAAACAAAAAATTTCAATAAAATCGCTTGTTATGATATATATATATATATATATATATATATATATATATATATATATATATATATATATATATATATATACATACATATCTATATATATAAGGAAATGAACACTAGACAATTCATTGGAATGAATGTTCTAGTGTTTATTTTGTTAAATATTTCCTTCAGTATATATATATATATATATATATATATATATATATATATATATATATATATATATATATATTATATATCATCTATAGTCATCTCTAGGTTGTAAATGATGAGATCTTACTCAGAAAATCCTACATTGTGTAATTGTGTTTTTTTTTACGTTACTCCAGATTATTTAGTTGAATAGTAATTATTTCATCCAATTATTGACCTGTATTTTGTTTAATAACACCGTTATCAGCCTTTGCCTTCAAATTTCTCAAATGTGATAGGAAATTAAATCTTCCATATTAACCACGCTTAACATATTGGTTATATTATTTTTTCTACCTTGTTAATTTCAAGCATTTTATCGAAATGAAAAATCTTGTCTCACTCATAAATGAAATACTTATTCAACAAACAGAAAAACATTTAGATGAAAATCTCATATTTCCGACAATATTTCAACATCAACTACAAACCGTAGCGTTAATTGAATATATACTTTCAAATTTCGTGATTTTGTATCAGTTTTCGGTTCATGATTTAAAGTGAATGAATTTGAGAATGGATGAATTCCAAGATTCAAACAAATTCTAAGAAACTAACTGTGGATGAAAAAACCATTATTTCTGTCTATTAAATAATCCTAGCATAAATTTCAATTAATTTTCAGTTACGAGTAAAATAATGTCATCCGAAACTGTAAAAATTATAACAAAAAGCAGTAAAATACACTTATTACTGCATATAGCTGAATAATAATTAACAGATTCCGTTGGAAATCATGCTGAAAAATTCAAATGAAATTCATTTTTATTATGTGGATTAGGTAAAACCACTTCCTCGAAAATGTGTTTGTGTGCAGTAGCGTTAGACGAATTAGATAATGAAGTTGTATAATGCCAAGAAGACAATATAATTAACAGCTGAGATATGTAGAATATTCTTTATAAAGGGATATATAGTGAAAATAGGAAATTTCTAACCGTTCTCTCTAATTTTCCCTATTCAATTTGCATTCAATTTTGAATGAATTTGAAACTGATTCTTATTCCTCATTCTCAAATAAACAATTCATATCGGACTCCCTCGTGGATGAAATCAAATTCTACTTGAAAGTTATGTCACCAAAAAATTTTCGAAGATTTTCTGACATCTCGAGAAAAAGATATAATGGACCGTGAAAATTGAAATTCCGAAAATATTTCGGGTGTTCATTAACAATACCAGTGCCAAATGTTTGGGTTACTGTTAAACTAGAATAATTTTTAGATTATTCATCAACTACCATTTTAAGAAAAATTTTCAGAATTAGTAATAAAAACTAAATTTTTCATTAACGTGAGCAACGTTCCTTTTATATAGCTATAGTCAAGGATTTTGAAAAATCGTAACTGTTACACTTCCATTTCGACTTCGGATGTCTTGAGGTACAAAAAAATCGAAAAACCATTTATCGTTGTTTTTATTAATTCATCTATTGATATTGAGGAATCAAAGTGAAACAAACTAACGTTGCTTCATATGAATTGCAATTGTGTTACATAAATCAAAGTGAGGAGAAAAATACACAACCTAAAAGAGTACTACAGAT